TTAAATATGTACAGTTGTAGGCATACACACACACAGAAAGTAACTGGACAGACACATATGAAGAATACATTTCAGGACAGGAATGGACATTGTGGAGGAGGGGAGTTTTGTGAATTTACTTCATGTTTCTGTCTTTAAGTTTTCACACATATGCATGCGCATACACACAACTATACAAACAAGGAAAGCAGAGATTTAAGGTCTCAGTGGAGACATATGGGGTTTAAGGCGTAGGTTCTGCAGCACCATGCCTGGGTTTGTATCCCATCTCCTTGACTTGCTATATATACTTCCTCACACAGGTTATTTAACCTGGCAAACATTCGGAACACAGTATTATTTATTATAAATGACAGTACTTAGACCTCTAGTTACAGTCAATTCTGTGTTTAAACTTTCCAGTTAAAAATGCTTCCAGGGACAACGCTCATAATCACAGTCTATTTTCTCAAGGTTTCATTGTAGCTGTTAATGATATTGTCATATGTTTACCCCACTGGTGTTCAGAACTTGCAAAGGAAAAGCAACAAAAACAGGCGGGATTATCTTGTTTTATGCAGAATGCCATGCGTTCCATGTGTGGGATAGTCCTGACTTAGCTTCTTTGACCATCTAAGCTAACGTACGTAGTATTAGTAAACTATAGAAATGGAAATAATGAAGTTTTTCTTTCTCCCTTAGGAAGACTATGATCGTCTGAGGCCTTTATCTTATCCAATGACTGATGTCTTCCTTATATGCTTCTCTGTGGTAAATCCAGCCTCATTTCAAAATGTGAAAGAGGAGTGGGTACCAGAACTTAAGGAATATGCACCAAATGTACCCTTTTTATTAATAGGAACCCAGGTATGCCTGCTTTGATTTTACCCATTTATGAAATACTCTCTCTGGCCTGCCTTGTGGTGTTGCTCTCAGACAAATGGTCCTAAGGTTTAGCAAATGAGATACATGTTCAATCTCAGTTGTTAGTTATAATAAATTCTGTCACATTTTTGGAAAAAGTAATATCAAAAGAAAGCAATTACTGTATTAGCTGGTTTTAAAAAATTAATAAGTTCTTTTGTAATCTTTTTCTGATATGTGGGGATTAAATAGGACTATGTGCTTTACCTTTAAAGACTTATGATATTATGAGACATTATTCACCTTTCTTAACTAGATTGATCTCCGAGATGACCCCAAAACTTTAGCACGACTGAATGACATGAAAGAAAAACCTATATGTGTGGAACAAGGACAGAAACTAGCAAAAGAGGTAATACAACCTTTACAGAGTTAAAAAAAAATGTGAATGAAGCCAAGGTAATAACAGAAGCTAACATTTATTGTGCATTTACTGTATGCCGGGCACTGTGCAGTGTTTTACATGCATTAGATCATATAATCCCTGCATCGACTCAGTGAGGTCGGTCTGCCTAGTTCTGCTGTTTTATGGAAGAGAAAACGGAGGGGTGGCAATGTCGGGTAACTTGTCAGATAACTTGTAAGGTCCCTCAGGTAATAGGTGGCAGAACCGGGCTTCAGTCCAGGGTTGACTCCAACACCCTGGCTGCACTGCTAACATCTTCCCACAAAGTCATGTGTAGAAAGAGGCATCAGAAGAAGGGGCTTCTAAACCGTATAAACATTTGTGCCAAATCAGGCTCCATCCTTAGTGAGGACTTATGGAGCAGGTAGTGGAATGGAAGAGGTGGACGTTTAAATCTGTAGTTTAAAACAAAAAAATTATAGCTAGGTTGGAAACGAAATGTTTTGAATTTTCTTCCAATCTTTTTATGAAAGATAGAAAATATTAGCATTCTAAAATACGTATAACTATGATGCACGTAATACCTTTCAACTTACATTCTTCCTTTCCCCAAAGCGAGGCTTCCTTTTTTTCTCCTTTTGGCCCTAACATTATTGGATTCTATTTTTTTCAATGTTATGACTTTAATAGGACTTTTGTGAAAACAGAATCTAATAAAATTTTTTAAAAATCCTCTCAGGAGGCATTGGAAAAGAAGAAAACTTTTTGGAGGACTGTTTTTCCTAAAGCAAAAGATAAATAGCTTCATGAACAAGTCTCTTTAGAAATTCCAGGTATTAAATTCTGTGGAGAGAAGGAATTTCTTAATGTCATAAAGGTAAAAGTCATAAATGAAAATAGTGATGATTTAACTACAGAAAAATTTAATACCACATCAAATGCCAGAAATAAAATTAAAACTCATTTAACAAACTTGACATTTATGGCAGAAAAATGGGTTAATATCCTTAGTGTACAGGAACCCCTCGCATATGGATAAATCAAAAAAAGACATATATATTCCAATAGAAAAGAGCTAAGAACATCAATGGGAGTCTTCAAAAATTGCAGATTGCCACTGGAGATAAGAAATATGTTCTTACTCATTCGTAGTCAAATGTAAGTTCAATTTCCATCTATAAAATTGGCAAAAAAAAAAGACATTAATTATAATACCCACTGTTCCGAGAGTGCAAGGAAATGGGCACCTATTGTCCTGTTGGTCATTGAGCAAAAGCAGTCTTGACAATATGCAAAAGCCTTGAAGTCATGTACACTTTTGATCAAACAATTCCATAGCTAGGAGTTTATCCTAAGAAACTTATACAACATGTGCTTGAAGAGATGGCTAGAAAGTTGCTGCATTGTTTATAATAGGAAAACAGAAATCCTGCATCTATTGAAAGTTTATACCAAGATACCTGTTGAGATGTTCACGTTTATTATGTAGTGTAAGAAGAAAAAGTGGTTGCAAAAAAACAATATGATCCCATTTCTAGACCGGTCAGTGGCATTTGGCACAGTTGGTTCCTTCTTGAAACACTTTTACTTGGCTTCCTTGAATGCCCGCTCTTGGGCTTTCTCGAAACCCTCTCATTGGCTTCTCCTCCATCTCCTCATCTCCTGGCTGTGAATGTTGTAGGGCCCAGGGATCAGCACTCAGCTTCTTGGACGTCTTCCATTCTATACCCACACTCACTCTCTAGGCCTGGTGAGCTTCTATCAGTCTTGTGATTTGAACGGTCTTCTATTGAGACCCCCAAATTTCTCTCTGCAGCCTGGCCCTCTTCCCTAAACTCTAGACTCGGTTATCCAGCTGTTCATGTGACAAGTCCATCTGGGTAGTAAGCATCGCAAAATTAATATATCTGAAACAGAATTCCTAATTTTATCCTCCAGGCCTGTCTTCCCAGCTACTCAGATCAAAAATCTTGATGTCACACTTGACCTTGCTCTTTCTCGCATATCATACAGCCAACCCTTCAGCAAAACGTATTGTTGCATCTTCAGAATATATCCAGAATCCAAAGGCTCCTCACTGTCCCCTCCTCTGTCAGCCTAGTTCAGGCCCCCTCCCTCTCTGGCCTGAATTACTGTCTGAGCCTCATGTTAACCTGTTCTCAACACAGCAGCCAGAGTGTCTTTAAAAATAGAAGCTCCATCAACTCACTGCTCTGCTCAGAATCCTCCAGTGGCTCCCCAGCTGACTCCGAGTGAATAAAGGCCCAGGTCCTCTCCATGGCCAGCAGGCCCAGCCACCCCTCTGCCTCACTCGTGCTCCAGGCGCGTGGCCTCCTTGCTGTCTCCCCGGTCTTTGACCTCAGGCCCTTTGTCCTTTTGCTGCTCCCTCTGCCTGGGATATTCTTCCCTATGGAGACATTATTCATTCTTTCACTTTCAGGTCCCTGCTGAAATGTCACTCTCTCAGTGAGACCTTGCCTGACCTGTCCCCACTTCCTATCTCCTTCCCCATTTTCCTCATGTTACTTCTGACATTCTACCTCTGTATTTATTAGTCTGTAGTCCCTCCCTCTAAAATGTAAGCTTCATGAGAGTCAGGTAGGACTTAATTTTGTCCCTTGCTATATTCTCACATTTGGCAAATCAGAGTGCTCCATAAATTTTCAATGAACAAATGAATCAAATCGATGGATGGATGGATGCGTCCCCTTAGAGTAGAAGCCAAAGTCCTTACAGTGACCTCCAGTCACTGACCTCACTGACCTCATCTCTTGCTATCCTTCCGCTCACTCTCTCTTGCCACTCTAGCATCTTTCCTGCCCCTGAACGCTCCACGCATCCTCCTGCATCAGAGTCTTTACATCTGTGGCTCCATCTGCCTGGATACGCTTCCCCTAGGTGTCCCTCACTAGGTAACGTCACCTTGTTGAGGAGCTTCCCCTGACCACCACCACCACTATCCTCTGCACCCTCCACCCTCCTCACTCTGCATTTCTCTCCATAGCACGTGCCACCATCTGCTCTGTATTCCTTCCTTTGTGTCTTCCTTCCCTGGCAGAACTTAAGCAAATGTAAACATTTCACAGCAGGGACTTTGCTCTTTTATTCAGTTCTTTGACAAGATCCTCAGCATCAAAAAACAGTGCCTGGCATATAGTAAGTACCTAGTTAATATTTGATGAATGAAAGAATTTTTCATAAAGTCTGGAAGGATGTACACTAACATTTTAACAGTTAGCTATCTCTGGGTATCATGAATATATGGCTGATTTCATTCCTTCTACATAGCTGTATTTTATAATTTTCTTTATAATGGTGTGTTTGTGTGGCACCAGTTGTGTAAAAAAGATTTTATATATTTGTGATTTTTTTTTTCTCCCTCCCAGATAGGTGCGTGCTGCTATGTGGAATGTTCAGCTTTAACCCAGAAGGGATTGAAGACTGTTTTTGATGAGGCTATCATAGCCATTTTAACTCCAAAGAAACACACAGTAAAAAAAAGAATAGGATCAAGATGTATAAACTGTTGTTTGATTACATGAGAAACATCTTCAGTGGCCAAGGAAACTGTCCACTTCTCTCAGAAAGCATATGAAATGCTACAGCTATACCCAGACCTCTTCTGAATAATGAAGCAGTTTAAAACTTGAAAGGAAAAAAAAAAAAAAACCCTGTCATCAGAATTCTGTAAAGTTCATTAAGAATGTTTCTTAAAGGTCCAAGAAGCAGCAAACAGCATCTGAAGCCACAATCTATTATAAATACTTTATTTCGACTAGATGGTACAATCTCTCAGGGGTTTCATAGTTTCAAAAGCTACAATCACATCATGTTGTAATGACATAAAAAAACAGTGCTGTTAAGTGGAACTGCCTGGCTTAGACCATGTACATTTCTGCACAGTCTTTATGGAATCTGCACAAAGAAATATCTTCTCCCTTTGCTCCAATTAATTGTTCTTGTATGTAAGTTCCTTTCTATTCCAGTATATCCAGAGTGGCGAAATGACAAGGCCAGCCACGTAGCCAAAGGTCGCTCCAAGCGTGCAGGAGATGGGCCATTCCTGAGGAGAGAATGTATGAGGTCAAAAAGAACAAATGTTTTATTATTACTTGAGCACAACTTAAGTGTAATCTAAATATTTCTATATTAAAGCTTAATGTGCTTTCTTAAAAGAATGCCAAAAGTATAATAAGGTCATAACTGCATTTATCATGAACACTAAAAATGTAGACATTTTAGTTAAAGTGCTTTCAACTGTAACAAGGCTTCTGGTGACTGCAGATTTAGTTCGATGTGCCCCAGACTGCATGAGATACATGCTAAAATTACAAATTAAAATTTTGGGTCAGACTTTGCCATAACCCTGGACTCAATTTAGCTCTCTGAACTAGTTGGTGATTTTGTTTTTTAATTTCCACATTGGCTTGTACATCAAATGAAAAGTGTATATGCTGACCAAACCACAAGAAACTTTAAACTGTGTTAAAGAGAAAAGACCTAGAATTCAAGCATGTTACATGGACTTTATAACAAAGCAACTGCTTTCATAATAAAACTGATGTCACCTTCCAGATACAGATATTGGAACCATAGTAGACGTTACAGAAGTACAACTTATGTACACACTTAGAGTGTTAGTTAAATGACATCCTGGCTTCCAGATACCCATTTTCTCCAGCCATATTACATTTCACAATATTATATCAAGCCAGAAGTAAGTAACGTTGACTTATTTCATCCACGAGCAGTGCGTGTTGGTCCCTAGGTGAAAGGCCCTAGTTTAAAAAAATGTTTTTCATGTTCATCTATAAAGCTTGTTTGGTATACTGGAGCCATTTCTAATCTTCCTCTAGGGAAACAGGCCGTAGAACTGTGTCAGAGGTGAACCATCTTAATTACTAGTTCTGTTACCTAATTAAGCGTCCTTGTTTGGTCTGCTGTCAGTCTACCTTATTCCAAATGCCATGCACCAGGCAAGAGTGTTAGATAAAGTTTCAGTGTGAACAAACTAATGCAGTTCAGAGAATCATAATCTAATCCATAAATTTTTTCCCCAGCCTTTCCTACTTTTAAACTTGCTGTTGCCTAAATTATGATTTATGTCTCTGGTGAACTTCTGTTGACTTCCATGACTTGAGCTTATAGCTACATCTATTGCACAGATTGGGTAATGGAACACTAAACTTTTATACTTGAAAATGACAGCCTTAACTGCTCATATCAGTCACAAATCTAGGATGTACTGTCGTGTGTGTGAGCTTTGTAGAAATTTTTAAAAATATAAGCATCTTCTTCCCCATTGAAGAGCAGAATCTACTGGATAACTAGTCCGGAGCTTTCTCTTTGAACTGAACAGTGGATGTCTTCTTTCTCCCAAGAAGTGGTGGTTCACGTTAAGTACCATGGCCTTATGTATGCTCAAATGGAATCTGATGTAACTTTCTCATTTAATTTTGGTCTGCTATTTTTAGATAGAACTGAAAAGAATTGTATACATTAATTAGTATATTAGCTAAGTTGTCCAACACATGGTATAAAGGAATTAAGACAGTAAAGTATTATACATTTATTTCTAACTTGCCTTTGGGGATTTGATGGGGATTTTTTTTTTTTCTTCCTCAGATTCACATCTCTGAAACACTTGGTTTCCTAGCCAATAAAGTTAAAATCTAGAATTTGTCCTGCCCTAAGAGAAATGGACTAGGAATCTGGAAACACAAACTTTGGTGTCACCTCTGTTTCTTGACTGGGCCTCAGTTTCCTTATTTTTTAAATATGGGAGGTAGAAGAGATGATCTCTAAAATCTCTCCCATTTGTCTACTCTTCTGATGTTCTTCTTCCTCACTCACAGTAATCACTGTTGGACATGACCTTTTCGGCATCATGTTCTTAGATGGTAAGAATCCTGTACAAAGATTGTTAGAACTCTAAGCAAAGACGATTGTCTCATCTGAACCTGAGGTGCCTTAAGTGCTCTATTGACCTTGAAGGGTTTGGAGTTTCCCACTGCTTATTAGGAGCCTTTTCACTGCTTTGGTCCTTCAGTATTTCTTTTCTGCAGAGTCTTTCCTGCCATTTTATCTAAAACCAAAGATTTGTTTTCTGTTCATAAACAGATTGTAGAAAAGTTGCCTTATTTTCAAAAGCATGTCTTCATTTAAGGCTTAGGTTTCACCAGAAATTCAGGCTAATCACTGGAACATCTGGTTCAAAGTAGTGACATCTGGAAAATGAAATGCTTCAAAGTATCTTACTGACTTGAATTTTCCTAGTGAATGAAAATACACTGCTTCAAATAGGGTCATATATGAATGAACTTAAACTTACAGTTAGTATTTTTTGCATAGAGATAATCAATTCTGAAGTTCTTAAAAATAACTTTAGGAGCTTCCTGAAACCTTACTTAATACTTTGCTTATATTCTTACTCTATCTCTAAAGGTACATTCTAGGTTAGCCTATGTTGAATTATCATATTTCCAATCAGTAGAGCCTGAACTAATGGTTTTTATTGTGAATTATCTTAGTTACTTTAGGCATTGCTTCCATTTGATTTTTAATTATTAATTTTAAGTACCAAATTAAATACTGGTTTGTTGGTGTTGTTGCTTTTTAAGTGATTGTTACTTTAATAGCGTCCCACCTTAACACTTGGGGTTACAAATAAAATAATATGCATAGTTTACTATCTATGTAAAGTACTGAACTTCTTACCTTAGTAGTTTTTATTTAACACTCTATGTAAACATTCAGGATAATACTCTTTCCTCTACTTCTCATGCTGTGAATCTGTGCTTCATCGGCCTATTGTGAGCACCTGCACTTTGGTAAAGAGCACGTCGTCAAAGTGTAGGCAGAATAATCATCCCTCGTGAATGCCAGCCAAATTCCAATTTGGGTTACTAAATTCTATTTTAATCACTTTGTAATTTCAGTGTGGCTCTTTGTTTCCAGACACATACATACACATACACACACATTCTTTAAGCAGCTGCCATACTTCATTCACCTCTAGTGGAATGCCAAAAATGAAGTCAATATTAGTTAGAAAGTTCTGTCTAATGAGGGCTTAAAGCTTGGAACACTTGCTGTTCAACATCTCAAGAAATCCATGCCATCAGCAAATTAAAATGTTGGAATGGCTTTGAAGACTGTATGCTAGTGATAGGTCAGGCTTTCCTGCTTGACTTTTCTGAAATTAGTTATTAATTATAACAGTCACTTTTTTTTAAGAGAATTTCTTTATATAAGGGCAACCCTCCTGATCTTGGTAGACCAAGACAGGGAATGGCGAAAGGAGCTGCTAAAGGGAGTTGGGGGAGGTTGCTGACATATAACCTTTCCTCAAGTAATTTCCTACTAACCTTCTTATAATTGCTTTAAAAAAATTCAAACTATCCTATGGCAACAATTCATATTGACTTGTCAAATAACCCTAGCTTAATCACATATTTTCTTAATTAGATCTTGAAGTTTTCCATTTAAAATTACTGCCTATGAAGATGTTTCTATTTAACGTTCCTCATGTCACCAATAGGATTTAAAACACACACACACATGTAGTATCTATTGAACAGACACTTCAACTGTGTTGCTATAAACATTTCTCCAAATTATAGTAATCTGAGATGGCTATATATGATTGTTTTGTTTAAGGAAAATAGAAAACTCATTCATGTAAAGGAAGTCAGAAGTGTTTTACCACCAGAATGACTATCTTCGTTTTATCCAGTTTTTTAATAAATTTAAGTGTTTTTAATCACCAAATAAGAGAATTTCTGCTGCATAACAAAAGATAATATAATGCAAGTGGGTAAAATTATTATGATTACTGTCAAAAAGAAAAGCTTAAAGAATGAGTAGCGGCACCATGTGAAAAAAATATCTTACTGAGAGTACCACTGTTGTCCTTCCTCAAAATCAAATGACTTTTTTAATGTATGTTTCAGTACTTAAACCAAAAAGGTCAGTATTCTCTTGAAATAATCAGCATTAACTAAGGCCTGCTATTATAGGATCTTGGTACATGCTACCAACCATAAGTAATTTTTCTCTCAGAAATTAAACAATTTCACCCTAATAAGCTAAAAAAATTCTTAAATAATACATATATAACTGGTTTTTTGTTAAAATCGATATTATTGCTGGTTGAAAGACATTTCAAAATTACACAAACTTATTTCCACCTGAAAACCACACTGCTTTCTGATCAGGCATTACTGTAAAACAGTGCTTACATTTTAGGAAAGGAGAATGTACTGGTATACAGAGTTTGATATGTTTCAAAACATGTTCTAAGTAGTACAGAATAGTGATTAAGAACACTGATTTTTGTATTTGACTTGATTTGAGTCTCAGCTCTACCATTTGTTAAATATGTGACCCTTGGATTAATTTCCCAAAGATACAAAGAACTCATACAGCTTAATATCAAAAAACCAAACAACCCAATCAACAAATGGGCAAAAAACCTAAACAGACATTTGTCCAAAGACAACATACAGATGACCAACAAGTATGTGAAAAGATGCTCAATATCATTAATTATCAAAGAAATGCAAATCAAAACTACAATGAGGTATCACATCACAACTTTAAGAAGTCTACAAATAATAAATGCTGAAGAGGGTGTAGAGAAAAGGGAACCCTCCTACACTATTGGTGAGAATATAAATTGGAGCAGCCATTATGGTAAACAGTAGGGAGATTCCTTAAAAAATTAAAAATAAAATTAACATATGATCCAGCAATCCTACTCCTGGGCAAATATCTGGAGAAAACTCTAATTTGAAAAGATAAATGCACCTCAGTGTTCAGAGCAGCACTACTTAGTGCACAGCCCCTTACTGGCCATATGACCTTTGCCAGGTCACTTAACAACTGAGCCTCAGTTTCCCAATTGCAAAACAGGGATAATAACACCTCTTGCACTTAAAACATGGGCTATTGTATTAAATGAAGTAATATTTAAAAAAACTATCATGAAAGCTGTAAAGTACCATGCATCAGTATCATTCTGTATATTATTACATGTTTTAACTTGGAAAAAATTAAACTTAT